CCGAAAGGTTCCGTTTGAAAAGAGTTAAATCTCAAGGTCAGTATTCCGCCGCTCTCCCAGGAATATTGGCTCGACATATTACTATTGTAAGATGTGTCCCCTTAAATTATAATTGCCAACTAGTGGGTAGCACAAGAGAAGGGGAGCTGTATTGATAGATAAGATTAACCAAAGAGAAGTTCTTCTGGAACCAGCCAGTAAATTTGCTTGATATAATGATTTATGATATGGTCCGGTGCACAAAGATAGATACCTTGAAATTGATCGCTATCGATTTTATAAGATTTTATTGCTTAACTACTGATATCAGCTACAGTTAATTTTAACATGATACAACCGACTCTTGTCAGAGGCAATAAAGAATGTGGCAAAAGACCAATTAGATGAATATAATAGGAGGTGGGGGGAGAGAAGAGGAAATAGCTGGGTAGATTATGGATTTAATTTTAGACGTTGATGACCAAAAGTTGAGGAGAAGAGAGATTTAGATTATGGTAGAAAGTGATGTAGATATCAGGGAGGGATGAGGAGATGAGGAGCCAAATGTGTAAGAAGTATAAGATGTCCAAATTGTCCAGATAAATGAGGAAAAGATGAGGCGAACTATATGTTCGTGGTTAGATGGTATAGAACGGGATGAAAGTAGATATGAAAGGAAAGGTGAAGAAAAGGTTTGAGAAAGTAGATTGGATGTAAGTGCTTGAAGAGAGGATGTTATTGGACATCAGGAAAAAGATGGCGAATAGAATGCAATCTTTAATTAATCAGAAAGTGAACGATGTCCGTAGTATGCAATCTTCGAAAAAGAACAATGATCGTAAACAGTAGGAGGCCAAATTAGACAGCGTAAAGACAAAATTGGACTCTGATTATTGCCCATACAAAGTATACTGTTTCTCTCTAATTATTAATCAAATCAGATAACATTTTCACGCAAAGCGATAATTATTTTTAATTTTTAATAGTAAAGACATTATCAGGCCAGGTCTTTTTATATACAGCACGTAAGTAAAAAAACTGGGTAGATAAACACGCTTGAAGATGATACGTTCGCAAAATTAATTTCAGCGCAAAATTTATACAAGAAACGACTAATTTTGTTTATTTGTTGTATTTTTGTCAGGCAAGAAACCCAGGAAATGTTATAGGTTTATAGGAGTAACGATACACAAGAATTTTTATAAAAAGGATGCGAGTGCGGAGGCGAAAAATGTTGAGCCAATCTTAGTCTTAGTCTTAGTCTTAGTCTTAGTCTTAGTCTTAGTATTAGTCTTAGTCTTAGTCTTATATAATATATATATATATATATATATATATAAACAGCCGGACTTTGCAACCAACAAATTTCAAAAAGATGGTTAGCGCAATTTGGAGTATGAGTTATTGTATATCCTTGCTGTCTTGCCAACTCATCTATAAAATTATTTGTATGAAATTCATCAAGTCGATATTCATGTCCTGGTGGTAATGGAGGAGGATTTTGCTGAGACTGTGGCCGAATTACTGGTTGAGAAGGATTTTGAAAAATTTGAGGTTGAAATACTTGTTGTGATCCTAAATCATGACAGATCATCAGCAGATCAACGTACAAATGGCAAACAAAGTTAGTCTTTTTATAAAAAAAGTAAATTGTTGGACGGAAATGCAGAGCTTGTACTGCTGACTAAAATTATAAGGGAGTTAACTATTGATCACATTCTGAAGTAAAACTGTGTTACACCAGCATTGCATGCATGATGTTAATGATGTGTCTGATACATCACATTATACTGTTATCGAAGTGAGGAACTACAAAAAATAATAATCGAGAAATTAAACCAGTTACTCTCTTAGTGAAAATTTTAATTCTTTGGTACAAAATGGTTTAAGTTTTATTCAGTTAAAGGCAATGTTCTATTCATATTCAGACAAATTATTGTCCATATGTTTTATACTCAATATGTTTTCTACTTCTAATGATAATCAATAACAATATTCTGTGTGCGGCATCTGTAAAAGAAAGTCTCAACCAACTTTTTATTACAATTTGTCTTTCTGAATACATCAGGTCAGTTATTTTTGATTCAATAATACAAATTGACTATAAACAGTTTAAAGTTACAACAAATAACACAGTAGTAAAAGTTTACAAAATTTTTTAACATAATACATTCGCTAACAAAGAAACAAAGTTTAGAGACCATATAACATGACTCAAGACTAACTGTTAAATTTTAATTGGCTTTTGGGCCGATATTTTAAACATGACATTCGTGGAACTTGTTCGTATTTCAACATATTCTAGGGCACGCCGATCATTTGAGAAGGGTAGGTAGTGTTGATAGTAGACATCCTAGGAACTGCTGTGGACACCGTAGGAACTGCTGTAGACACTATAGGAACTGCTGTGGGTGTAAGATTAACACGAACAGTTTGTGCGGTAAGATCGGAGAGAGCGTCATTGATTTCGATTACTAACTCTGCATGCTCGGCGTATTTTGGTGTAGCTGTTCCTTTACCCTTCGAGTCCACATCTATGCTAAAATAAGTGAAGACAGCACGCCACACAATCTTCCAATTAGCAGTTGGATTTTCCTGTCGGTTGTATTGATCGAGCACAGGTTGCAAGGCCCGGGTAAATATTTCGGCACGCCGCTTTGCCATAGCATCGACAATTGATCGTCCTATCGGGATTGCGAGCGCAAGTAAGAATTCGACTACTATGGTGACAATAGCAGTATTGGCTATGTTATCGCCGGGCGAGGCGGCGAACGTGATTATGAGAACGACTGCAAGTATGAGCGTAAACAATCCTGCGATGGCGTACGTCAGGTATGTCTTTGTCTTTGCGCTTAACAACGGATAATCTTTAATATAGTTGTTAATTCCTCTTAATCTATCAGCAAATTCAGTGCGATTAAGATATCCATGCAAGTCGAGACACCATTCTGCTTCAAACGCATGCGTAGGTTCGCAACAGTCACAACAGGAAACTTGTTGTTCGACTAGCGGAACGGTAACAGACTTCATTATGCTCGTAACGACAGAGAATCTAGAGACAAAAAGAGCCGAGTGGTGGGGGAAGGGTTTATATAATTACATAATTGCAATCATTGCATTTGGCGTCTTTATGTATACTAACAGGGATCCCCGTGTGACGGATCATATTTTTTTTCCTCACAAATTTAAGTTGTACCACAAATCACAATGGCTCTATCTATAGCCAAACAATCAGACGATCATCTGATTGGATAGAATAGATATGCATCTTCTGATAATCGACGACGAAGTTCGCCTGGAGAATTCCGCGTAGGAAAGTATATCATTCTTAAGATATTCGATACGCATTATTGTTTGTCTGTTCTGTTTTGTAATATTTTCTTTTCCCGTGTCCTACTGATTCGAACATCCAGCATCAGTGTTTACCAAAGTAAAAAATATATTCGCAATCAACATTACGCTGTCAGTGAAAGTAAGTTTATAATCCGAACGATAAATTAGCGTAGTTATGCGCTTACGCTTGTGCTCAATAATTATCGTCATTTAAGCTGAATTAACTAATACGGTATAGGGAATTTGTTTTTCTCTTTCACGAATCTGTTAGCTTTGTCCTCACCATTATTGTGCGCAGTAATTTGGAAAAATTTTACGAGTTCACATGGCTATTGTGTAACGATTTAGCCGAATAAAAATTACTAAGCCTCTATGTCTTCACAAATCTCATTAACATTAGATTATGAAATATGTATACGATTATTGTAAATACACTGTGCAAAGAAGTTATTGGCAATTACATAGTAATTGTGCAACAAAATCATGACAATCAACATGAATAATGCTTCATAGTAGTAATAGATTTATTAACAAGGTTTACTATAGGCTTCTTTATCCATTTAATTCACATTTGCGTCTCATCAGTTGTACTAAATTAGCCAGAATGCTTTCTGAGGATCATCCACTCTGGTTTTCAGCCCCAGAATAAATTGTCATTCTTGATAACAATCATGTTTTTCATTAAATAGACATAACAGTATTCATTTGTCTTGGCACAAAAGTTTGCAATGGGAAGCCTCTATTTATTGTTTTCCAGTGGCCATCAATAAACAATGTGGTTTTAAGACGGAAACCCAGTCTTCACAGAGAGACTGTGTTATCCAAGGTACATCCAGAGAATTTTTTTACCGAACATATACATTTCTTTGATGAATGTTATCAACTGTCCTTCATCATTCAGAATGAGAGAATGCTGATAAAAATGTCTTTTTATTATCTCCATGTTCTTTCACGGGTTCCTTGGGACAAAATCAAGATAATAGTTCAACCACAGGAGGGAAACCTGACCTCAGATCCTGAATGAGGGTTAAATTTCAAAGATCTGGTTATAACTCTATTTCTTGAAGTCTGGCAAAAATAGTAATAGTAATAGCCTTTTGATATGTCATTTGCATTTGCATAACTGAATTTTGCAGTACTCATGTTTGGACTTCTCCTTTACATTGTCTATAATTCTCAATTAATAAATAGGACATGGAAATCCAGTACAAAAAATCTACACGGAAATCACGAGTGTGCATTTAAAAATGAATACCGTACGTGATTGGTCAATTTTGGTGTTATGCTTATATCGTATAATCAGAGAAAATCTCATAACGATTCCGAATATTGTATCGGATAGTTAATGAAGAAGAGCTGTATTCGAGTTTACCGGATAGCAAATATCGGTACGATAATAAGGACGTTTGACTGTATGCCATAGTAAACCACTGAGTAATATTTCCGTTTCAATTATCCAAATATTATCAGGCGTTAGTATTCCTTCATCCGCTATTTGAGTAATCGTTACATCATTGATCAATTTAAGCCCAAAGTTGGCAATACTATTTACATCGTTTATACATGAATGACTTGCCTGATAAAATCAAAATAGTTCTGACCAATAATCCACCCGCATCAAATGATTTGCCCAAATTTGCTATATGTGTGCAATTTGTGGGGTAGCGACTTTATTTTTCGTATGGTTTGTTAATCTGGAATTTCTACCCAATGTATATCGGCATTACATTTATTCTCTGTATTCTTCCACGGATTTCATTATAAATGAATTCCTTGTCTTGTTGCTCGCAAGTCCGATCGAGAGGCGTGGGAATTTACATTCGAAACAAAATGTATTGGTCTTATGACATGTACACGCGTGGCATAAACCAGTCTCATAATATTCGCTTGTTAGGCAATATTTTCGTTTGCGCGCGCGCATTTATAACATCAAGAATATCTGAATACTCATTACATAATTAGTGAAAATTATAATCGATAACATATTACATTAATTTTGATAGTCGCCTTGTCCTAATACAAATTTATTTGTTTAGCTAGGAAAATCAGTTTAACGTCTTTATAAACAGGTAGACCGAATTATGAACACTATTACATGAAATCTATTTTAAATGACATTATTTGCTGAGTTTACATGATTGAGATTCTGTATCAGCAACCATGTAATAACTACCGAACATATTCGGTAAATTCTTTTATTAGTTGGTTACGATAAGTAAGTCATTTCGTACATCATCTGTATTGACTGACATTGTTATTGCACTTGTGTGTTGGAAGTGAATATAAACTTATACATGAATGTTGGGCGTACATTCTTCGCTACTTTAATAGTAAAATTATCTAAATTTCTAAAATTAATTATCCCGCTTGCCAGCATAGTAAACACTTTCTATTAATAGTTGACACTATATCAGTAATTTCTGCATAAGAAACGTGTTTGTCTTTACTTTCTGAAAAAGCTTGAATCAAGTTGTCAGCTGCGGGTTATTGACAGTCCTTGATGTTAACAATGTTCTGACCCAAATCGAAATTGACCCAATTCGGAATAGGGTCGACCCAAATCGCGATCGCGTTTCGGGTTGGC